TCGTCAACTTCGTCAACTATGTCGATCATTTAGATCACATGACTTAATTTTAGCACAGTCACGGATCACGGCTTCAGGGCGAAAATCGAAATTATCGCGAAGGTGTAAAGGGAAGATAGCGAAGGGAATGATTTGCAAAGAAATATGCTAAAGTCGAGCATGGGATATTGAGCTGTTTTAGGATTTCCAGCTCGTATTTATAAAAGATCTTTAATTGAGCCAAACTGGCGTCTTGACAAACTGGCACCGTGACGAACTGGCTAATGATCGTCAAAGGGACTAACTGCAATTATCAAGAGCGATCTTAAGCGAAATTATGAAGATTATGGCCGGAATTTGCATTTAATCGTAACACTATTTAACGCATTATTTAGTAAAGTATAATTAATCTAACTTGGTTTACGCTCCGGCAGACGTCCATATGCAATTTATTTTTTTTAGAAATAAACAATAAATCTTACTATGCAGTTACTGCATAGTAAGGAAACAAAGTTTCAGTAAGATAATGATTGTCCATAAATTGGTGTAACATTGAATTATTTCTTTGTTAGAAGACGAGATTTTTGATATGATCCATATTGTTTCTAAAAACCTTTTTTTTATAATAATTAAAGATTAATTAGTATCATTTGAAATGTCATAAAATTTTTGTAATGAACCTATCGAGGTTATATAATACTTTAGTTTGAAAATTTATATTTAAAGATATAATTGAGATTTTTTAACCGAATTTTTTGCCGATAAATTTGATAAATTGATATTTATAAAAATAAAATATGTTGTAAAACACATCGCATCGGAATGAAATATTTTAAAAAAGCGCCAAAGGATGATCTTTTACGTTTACGTTGTAGCACATATGGGAAGTTTGCTATTACGAATATAGTAAATCATATGACCCGTAATGTAATTTTAATAGCAAACCTCCCAATATGCATGAACATGAAACTTGTTTCGAACCTGTCCTTAATAATTACCAAGTTTATCAAAGAAAAAAAAGAAGCTATTCTGAAAATGATTTTCTCTATTAATTTTTTTTTGTAACGTTGAAGCAATTCCTTGTTAAATTCTCCAATTAAAGGATTATAATGAATTATCCCTTTAATATAAACGTTTTATATTTTGTCGGATTCTATAAATTTATTATCAAAAATAAAAAATTTAATTAAAAATAAATTAAATTAATTAAAATCATGACTTGTAAAACACATAAATTTCTTAAAATTTTCATTTTCATGTTAAGCTATTTATTCTTTAGAGTAGGGTCATTTACTCCTGAAGCACGTTTGGCTCATTCTACTGTCCTTGTTGGAAATAAGTTGTATTTTTTTGGCGGATATGTTGAAAATGCTAAGGCTTGCACAAATCAAGTATTTTATCTCGATTTATCTAAGTCATTTAATTTAGCTGCTCCACCATGGGTTTCCCTTACGCAAAATGCCGAAATACCATTCAGAAGTTGCTGGGGTACCGCGTCATTGAATGATAAGAAACAAAGTATTTATTTATTTGGTGGATTTATGCAGGATAATTTAAATCAAGATATATTTGTATCAAATGTTCATTCATTTAATTTAAGCTCCTTATTATGGAATGTACCTAATATCGAAGGAACTCCGCCTGAAAGACGAAGAAAAATGAAGGGTGTTATTGATAATACCGGAAAAATATATATTTTTGGTGGACGTACAGGAACATATTTTGATTCTACAACAAGCATGTCTTTCAATGATATGGTTATTTTAGATACAATTAAATCATCTTGGGTAATTAATACAATTAATTCATCAAACCCAAGACATCTTTATACCGCAACTTTATTGACAAATGGAGTTATTGTATATATTGGTGGTTCAGAAATGATTGAAATCATTACACGATCAATTGACATTAAACAAATTAATCTTTTTGATACAAAGAACTTAACTTGGTCTGTGAAAGTATGTATCTAAATTATCATATTTAATGAACAGAGTTTAAATCTTAAATAATTTAATGTATTTATAGATAGCGAAATCTTCAAATATAATTCACAATCGTCATAGTCATTCGGCGGTTTTAGGTATATAATTATGATTTGATATCAATAAAATATTTAATATATTTACTTATCTGTTTTTTATTAAAATAGCTCCGGATGATACAATCATTATATATGGTGGTGAATTTGGAAATAGGAAAGTTGCTCCGGATTTGATTGTTTTAAAGATGGAATCAGAACAATTTGAGATGATTGCTCCGCAAGTTAATTCAAATGTTGGTCAGGTTCCATCACTTACAATTCATACAGCTGATCTGGTTGGAAATTATATGATTGTAGCTTTTGGTAAGTATATCATATATTAAAATATTTCATAAACTTTTGATTCATTTTAATGTATTTTAATAGGAAATATTACACGAAAGAATTCTAATCCATTGCTAATTGTAAATCAAAATATTTATATAATGGATGTTAGAAATTATACGTGGGTTAATTCATTTGAAATAACAAGTGTAAATGTAACGACTAATTCGACTAATTCTGGCTCATCTATGCCACAATCATCGCAAACTAATGGTGGATTGGTTACAATAATCGCATCAATTGGAGGAACATTGGGCGCTGTTATAATTATGGCATGTGGATTTTTATTTTATAGATGGAATAAAGATAGGATCGTACAATTTCCAGAAGAACATAAACTACCTGGAAGTATTGCTGAAATTAATCATAATAGTTATGTAGCATAATATATTTTAATATTGCATTGAATAGACATTTTTAATTTAAAAAGCTTTCATGTATGGGAATAATTTACTAAGTTCAAGGTATAATATTTGCATGTGACGCTTCTAACATTCCGCATGTCTTTCATAATAAAAAAGTTTCTGAATCAAATACTATTATACTTTTTAATTAAATTTTATAATTTCATACACGCCTTTTTTGATTTACATTCTTGAAATCTACACATATTATAAACTGAATAAATAAAATGTATTATTTTAATGAATAAAAAATAAATCTTGTATTTAAATGTTAAAAATATTCCAAAATTCATATATATAAATTTTATATCAAGCGCAGGTTCTCGGATACAGTTTTCATAAATCGAAATCACATTCAACTTTACAAAATTTTATAAATTTATGTATATTTATATTTTACAGTACAGTCAGAATCTAGGAAAAAATGATTGGTCTAAAACTATGCAAACTTTTTTCGAGTCGAAGTTTGCATTCTTTGAATTGGCCTAAAGTTTACCAAAGACCATACCACCTCTTAAGCAAAGGCTACGCGGACCTTCTTTTTATTTAAACCTAGCTTCTTTGATCCATTCAGTCCGGATAATTCTGAAGTGTCACTTATAACGTATTAACGTAATTCCGGATAGATTTCTCTCATTTCTTCGGTGTCTTGCCGTATGTTGAGTGAACATCTGAGGATGATTATTCTAAAATGTAATGATAGATCAAGTTACTTTGCAAATGTTAAGCGCCAATAAATATTGGTTGTAAGTTTCTTGTTCATCTAAATTCAGTCAGGGGTATTTCCAAATTTGGAATCGATTCCAGAATATTCTGCTGATCATGCCGATCATTTTAAATAGG